AAACATACAAACTACAGCCTTTCAGGTTGATTCTGTAAGATGGGAATTGGTTCCTAAGCCACTGTGTAAGTTGTCTTACGTTTCATACGTGTGTCTGTGACTCTGCATAAGTGGCATAGAGAGAAAAATACACCTTTTAAGTTAGGTGTTCATAAAAAGCCCTTTTCATCTTCTTGTCTTGCTACAGGGGTTATTTGAGGTGACACTGTGTTTCTTTTTTTCCAGTTAAAAAAAATGGAGGAGTCTCACCAGGAAGCTACAGAAAAAGAAGTAGAGAGGATCTTGGGATTATTGCAGACTCATTTTCAAAATGATCGTAAGTATGATTCCAGTAAGCTTTTAAAGCATTAATATAAGAAGATGAACGCTCTTAATCTACAGTTAAGAGTGATTAGACTATAACAACAAAATCAGTTGGAGTTTGCAAGTAGAAAACTCTCAGACAGGTTGAGAGGGCTGGGCTTGTTCAGCTTAGAGAAGACCCTGGGGAGACCTTAGAGCAGCTCCAATACCTAAAGGTATATACCTACAAGAAATCTGGAGAGGGGCTTTGGACAAGGGCCTGTAGGGACAGGCCAAGGGGAATGGCTTTAACCTGCCAGAGGGGAGACTGAGATGAGCTCTTAGGCAGAAGCTCTTCCCTGTGAGGGTGCTGAGGCACTGGCACAGGGTGCCCAGAGAAGCTGTGGCTGCCCCATCCCTGGCAGTGTTCAAGGCCAGGTTGGACACAGGGGCTTGGAGCAAGCTGCTCTAGTGGAAGGGGTCCCTGCCCGTGGCAGGGGCTGGAACTGGATGAGCTTTAAGGTTCTTTCCAACCCAAACCAGCCTGGCATTTTACGGTTCTTCCAGGATTCTATGAAATCTTCATGTTGAAGGATACAGACTATTTTTATGAACACTAATTGACTGCTGTTTGCTGCAAAGTAAATTGAAACCCTATCCTCTCTCTCTTACTACAACATGCCGTTTTTCAGAGGGGATCAAATAGTTACCAAGTATGTGTATGTGTATGTGTGTGGCAAAAGATGGAAGAAAATAATAATCTCTAGGAACTGTTTCTTTCTTCAGGCAACTGAGAATTCAGCTTTGTAACTAAATGGACATAAACAGTCAATCAGCTTTTAAAAGGAGCCCTGACTTTATGTTTGCATGTATTAGGTCTGTGTACCGCCTGTTTGGTTTTTTAACAACCCCTTTTTTCCATGTCCAGCTAGTACACCTATTTCCTTCTTTGATCTTGTGATTGATCCCAACTCCTTTGCACGCACTGTGGAAAACATCTTTCATGTGTCCTTCATTATAAGGGTAAGGCATGACATGTTCTTGAAATCTTATTTTGGATATTGGAGTTAACTAGAAAGATGATTTTTGTTTTTATGGCTTCAAGACTGACAGATTAGGATTTAAATATTAGGAATCCTGATTTGTTTTCTACAAACAGTCTGTGATATTTTAGGAATTGAATAAAAAAGAAACCAGAGTTGACAGTGTAATATTTTTTATTAGATTTTTCTATTATAGTTAATTTACCAACAAAACAGTAACGAAACTTTTGCTGTTATGCACATCTCAAAAAGGGATTCTGCCTCACGTTATGTTAGATTTTAGAAGAGTAGTCAGGGAGTATAGAAGTGTTATTGAGGCTGAAGGAAAGTATGTTAGTGCAGTGTTTAATATACCTTTCGAATCTGTAGATTTGCACTTCATACTTAGTCAAATAACATGAATTTGGGAAAACAGAAAAACTTACAAATATATTTGTCTAAATTTGGGTTTATAGTGAAAAGTGATGTGATCATGGAGGGTTCAGTCCAGTATATTTAATGAATAATGATTTTTAATAAAACAGATTATTTTTCTAATCCAGGTTACCAGTTGTCCTATATCAGCTGCATTCTTTGTGAATGAGTGAATGCTGTGTTTAAACTATTCTTATTTGGTATGCCAGTTAAGACTGTATCAATACATGTACTTGTTTATGATGTAATATATTAAAATGTGAAATCTCAGTGCATTACCTTAATCATGTCTAACTTATGAAACTTTAAATCCTGTCTTTTCAGGATGGTTTTGCAAGAATAAAGCTGGATGACGATAAATTGCCAATAATAGGTAAAATCCAGCTTTAAAAGACTTAATTATTGGGGTTTTATTTTCTTATTGAAAAGTAGCTACATCTTGCGTGTTCACGAAGTTTCAGGTGTATTTTTAGCTGCAAGAGTAGAGATTTGGGGATATCCAGTGAGTGCAATTGAAGGCATAAAGAGATTTATGAGAGGAACCAAAAGTATTGAGTCTGTTTAATAAAAGGAAAGGGAATAACCCTTTATTTCAAAGTGATATTTTCACTAATACATAAACGAACATTGTTAGGTTTTGCTGAGAAAACAGATTTTTAGATGCAAGAAGTCTCCTTTACCTGTATTGGGGAAGTGCTGCATCTTCAGAACAGTTGTAAGGGAAATGCTATCCTATGTAGGAGGTCTTCAGCTTTCATTCTCATGGGATATCAGTGGGATTACAACTGGTGGGATTTTGGAAAGGCTGAAATACTTAGGACCTTCTGTGACTGAAATGTTAGTTCCTCAATTTTTAGGAGTTAAGACTAAAGAAATTTCTTCAGGAGTGTGTGATACAGGCTATTGCTGGAGACTATCTTCATGCAGCATGTATCATTGATTTGCTTTTTGTGAAGCTTTTGCACTCCTGGAGGAGGCTGACTTTATGAGTATAAAGACTCTGGAAATGCTGTATTTTGCACAGAGCCTTCAGAAGACAACGAGGAAAGGGAGGATGGCCATAGTGCTGGAGCGAGGAACCAGGTTGTCTTGTCTCTGAACTATAAAGACTGGAAGGTATAATAGATAGCTCTCGATACTTCTGATTATTTTTTGTTGTTAAGTGTAGGACTATATGTACTGCATTGTTACATACTCTAATGAGGACAGGAGTTCCTGTATTATCACTGCATTTAACTTTATGGATTCCAGAACAATCACAAATCTAGTGAATGCTTTTAACTGCAAGAACACTGAGAACTGGGATAGCAATTTCATCTTTGATCCTTGAAGCCTGCCCAGTTTAAGTGCTTTTAAGTTGTGCAGTGACTTGCTTTTACTGTTTTGTATAAGGACTGCATAAATAGCATCTGTTTCTTCCCTTCCTGAATGATAGTTGCTTTTAGAGGAGTTCTGTGTTCAGTTTCCTCACTGCTTGCTGTTTGTACTAGATCTTAAACAAAAAGTAGTTTTTAGCACGTACAACTCCTTTCCTTTGTCCCTTACTCAAATATACTTAGTAATTTGAAGTAGTGCTTCAGTATGAGAAACTTTATTACTTACATGATGGTAACTTCAACGAAATGGAAATAATTCAGTTCTTGTAACTTACATGCTTTTGTCATTTCTAACCAGGAGATTGTAGAAACATTTGAAATAACAGAACCGATGATTAGCCCTCCTTATCATAGCAATGAAGATGAAATGGAGACAGATTAATTCTTCAGGTAAGTTATTTTAATCAAATTAAATAAGGATACTTATTTTTTTTTAGTAAATCAAACTAAATAAAAAAGGATACAGTGAATGAGTTCCTTATGCATGTTGAAGAACTGCAGGGAAACTACCTGTGACTTATAAATGTAGAAAAACTGTGAGCAGGGCAACTTCGTAACATCTGAACATTGTTGACGTCTTAATGGAACAAAGTAATCTGATCTTCTATGCAGTAGTTAAATGAAAAAAACCCTTTATTTAGAGAAGAGATTCAGAGCAGCCCTGCGGGGAAGGACTTGGGGGTGTTGATCAATGAGAAAATGAACATGAGCCGGCTTCAGTGTGGGCTCGCAGCCCAGAAAGCAACCGTATCCTGGGCTGCATCAAAAGGAGTGTGACCAGCAGGTCGAAGGAGGTGATCCTGCCCCTCTACTCTGCTCTCGGGAGACCTCACCTGGAGCATTGTGTGCAGTTCTGGTGTCCTCAACATAAAAAAGACATGGAACTGTTGGAACAAGTCCAGAGGAGGCCACGAGGATGCTCAGGGGGCTGGAGCACCTCCTGTATGAAGACAGGTTGAGGAAGTTGGGGCTGTTCAGCCTGGAGAAGAGAAGGCTGCGTGGAGACCTCATAGCAGCCTTCCAGTGTCTGAAGGGGGCCCTCAAGAATGCTGGGGAGGGACTCTTCATTAGGGACTGTAGTGATAGGACAAGGGGTAATGGGTTAAAACTTAAACAGGGGAAGGTTAGATTGGATATAAAGAAGTTCTTTCCTGTGAGGGTGGTGAGGCACTGGAATGGGTTGCCCAGGGAGGTTGTAAATGCTCCATCCCTGGCAGTTTTCAAGGCCAGGTTGGACAGAGCCTTGGTTTAGTGTGAGGTGTCCCTGCCAATGGCAGGGGGTTGGAACTGGATGATTCTTAAGGTCCTTTCTAACCCTAACTATTCTATGATTCTATTTTTACATGTGTCAGTCAGTTATTTTTGTAGCTATTTTTGAGTTATTTTTTGTAGCTTTATACTCGGAATGCAGTGCTGTGAAGAATCATAGCTTAATTTTTGTACCTTTTCTTTTAACCTGTTGACAGGTGATGTTGTTAATAGATTAGTGTGAGGGACTTGTGGGGAAAAAAAGAAGGGAACACCATCAGGTTCCCTCTAAAATCCATTCAGCCATAGCACTGAATTTTTTTATTGTCACAGTTGTTTGCCAAGTTCCAAATCTTAATGCATGTTGTCTTAACTGGCTTTTCTCTTTTTTTTTTTCCTTTCTTTCCCCCTAGGTGCCTTACAGAAAATATTTTAAAGCATTTCATTCAGAAAGTGTTTTATATGTATATATGTTGTAAAATTATTTCTATTAGAACATCTTGACACTTCCTATGCGCTGGTTTGTTTCTACCTGTCACGGGGTTATTACCATATACTGTCTGTTTATTATGGCTTAGTTTGCTACTTTACATAAAGTTTACAGATGCTTCTAAGTAAAAATGAAATGCTATCCCCCTTCATACATCCCTCGCCTCTCCCCAGTACCGGCCTGCAGGTGGAATTTACATGGTTAACCATCTCTGCTGCGATAATCCTGTTACCTAGGTGAGGTTGGGTGCTGCAGGAGAAACTGATGATGTCTTTCTGATCCTAGTCCTCTGAAAACCAAGGTTTGAGTTTGCAAGTCTGATCTCAGTGGCACATAAAAAGTCTTCCTTCCTTGGACTTAGTTAAAAAGACATCAGGTGTATCTGGTTTTGTAACTAAGGCAGGACAGCTGTATGTGGCCATTATATTATTTTTTTAATACAAAATAAATAATGTTTAGCTCCATCTCCAGAAAATCCTCTTTGGAGGAGCACTGTCTGGAGTTTTTAGGACTTTTTCCTTTATCATCAGGCAGGGTTCTGATCAAGCAGCTGGGGTAGGAGGTCCTGCCGATGCTGTCAGAGCGTGTTTCTGGGGGTGATAACGTGGGCAGGCCCAGAGGGTGTGTGAAAGCACAGTTCCATCATCTCTGCTCTACACCAGAACGCGGAGCTCTTTTAGAGCAGCTCCAGCAAACGGGGCCAGGCCTCCTCCGAGGGCCGCCTCCACCTCGCTTCGCCCCGGCGGGGCGCTGCGGGCAGGGCCGCTGAGGCGAGGCGAGCCGGGCCGCCGTACGCCATGCCTGTCGCCGTGGTGGAGTACAAGGGCTGGAAGGAGGGCTACCGCTGCGGTTACTGCGCGTCGGAGCAGGGGAAGGTCTCCGCCGGTAAGCAGGAGGCGGCGGGATGGGATGGGACGGGATGGGACTGAGACACCGGTCTCCTGTGAAGGGGCAGCGCCGCCGCCCTCACTAAAGATGGCGGGTCCGCCATTTCCTGTGGGCGCTCCCCGTGCGCTGCCCGTAGCAAAGATGGCGGCGGCGGCTGTTTCCGGGTGGCCCGGGGTGCGGTGTATGGCGGCGGGCAGGGCGCTGTCCTGAGCCGGGCGGCGGGGCACGGCCAGGGGCTCACCGCGGAGATGGCGGCGGCCGGCGGCTCTCCGAGCATCGTCGAGTACTTCGGCGGAGAGGATGGCTACCGCTGCGGCTACTGCAAGAACGAGACCGGCAACCTCTCCCACGGTGCGGCCCGCGGGCCGGGCGGGCTGTGAGGGCCGGGACGCTACCGGAGGTAGCTGGAGGCCACGGAGCTGCTCCAGCCTGGGGCTGAGGGACGCCTGTGAGCGGCGGAGTGCAGCAGCCTCCGTCCTGCCGGGGGCGAGCACTGTCCTTCCCCCGACGGCGCCCGCCGCCCCCTGCTCCGGGCGTGGGGGCTCCGAGGTGGCCGGGGTACCCGGGGCAGCCCGCAGAGCCAGGCCGGGCCGGTGTGGGGCCGCGGAGGCCATGGGCTCGCCGGGAAACCTCGCCTCATGGTCGGGATCGATCAGAGTGCTTCTCCAGGCTAGGGTGAACCACGAGAAATAACGGGAAAGCTGTGCAGAGCGTGAACTGTTTAATTGCTGCGATCATAATACGTGCACCCTAAGTAAGGATGTGGTTAGGGTCTCTCCCTCTCTCGGTGCAGTTTTACTCCTGAGGCGCAGCTGTCCTTTCTGACCCTTCACTGGCGGCGGAGGCTCCATCTCCACGGGGTTAACCCAGGGCGCAGTGTGTTGGCCTGGCCAGGCTCGATGGCTCTGGATCTGTGGCTGGACAGGTTTAGCTTAGGGACAGCTCGATGGGAAGTGGTGATGTGCTTTCCTGGGTGAAGAGGTGACACACATTCCCTGAGCTCTGCTCCACCAGGCAGCTGCTGTCCAAGGGGGTCCCTGGGAATGGTGTGCGTCAGCTTCAGCGCTGCTCGGAGGAATTCTGGCTCGGTGTTTCCAACAGATGAGAACAAGATTAAGGAGCAATTCTGTGTTATTTTGTTGATGTATCTCTGGCAAAGATAGCAGGCAGAGAGGTGAACTTTTACCATGTACAGTCAGAGCAGTGTAGAATCAGAATAGCCTGGGCTAGAAGGGACCTTCAAAGCTCATCTGGTCCAGCCCCCCCTGCAATGAGCAGGGACATCTTCAACTAGACCAGGTTGCCCAGCTGGCCTTGAATGTCTCCAGGTATGGCACATCCACTGCCTCTCTGTGCCAGTATTTTACCACAGTTTGATTTGCAAGTTGGTTTGCATCTCAAGGTCTTAGTTTTGGTGTTTTTACACTTTGTGTGTTGAAATCAGTAATTTATGACATACATGAATATGCCCAATCCTTGAAAGTCATTTATTTGTAACTCGCCGTGAGCCACTCAGATTTACAGTCATATTTTTGTATATCTTCTTGTGTTTTAAATCATAGCCATGGTCAGTCAAGTGTGTTGAATGTATTATTTACCGCAGGTATGTGGGCACATTCGATGACAGTTCAAGATTACCAGGATCTCATAGACAGAGGATGGCGAAGGTAAGTTTAAAACAAAAGACAAAGCCCGGTTGACTGGTTAGATAGAGTTTAGAATCCAGTTTTAAAACTTAGGTCTGTGTCCTGGGTTCAGCAGTAGCAGTCATTTTTCTCCATCTTAGTAGCTGGTGCGGTGCTGTGGTTTTGACTTTCAGCCTGGGAACAGCGCTGATAACACCGACGTTTTTAGTTACTGCTCACATGTTTAGTCTGGCCAAGGACTTTGTGAGCCTCATGCTCTGCCAGGGAGGAGGGGAAGCCGAGAGGAAGCCGAGACAGGACACCTGACCCAAACTGACCAAAGAGCTATTCCATACCACAGCACGTCATGCGCAGGATGTAACTGGGAGTTACCCAGAAGGGTTAGTGTACTGCTGGGTCGGGCTGGTGGGTGAGTGAGTTGCATTGTCTTCCCTTGTTCTTTCCTTTATCATTATTATCATTGGTGGTAGCAGTAGAGGTTTGTGTTATACATTAGTTACTGGACTGCTCTTATCTCAACCCATTGGAGTTATATTCTTTTGATTTTCCTCCCCATCCCTCTGGTAGCAGGGGAAGGGAAGAAGGGGGGGAGTGAGAGGGAGACTGCTTTGGCTGACTGGGCTTAAACGACGACAGTCTGTGAAAACAATTGACTAGTTTCTCTTAGTAATTGCAGTAGAACTGTCTCTGCAGTGCTCTTTGAAGTTTTGTAACACGGTTGAACAGGAAAATACTTACAGAATCCCAGACTGCTTTGTGTTGCAAGGGCCCTTACAGCTCACCCAGTTCCAACCCCCTGCCACAGACAGGGACACCTTCCACTAGAGCAGGTTGCTCCAAACCCCTGTGTCCAACCTGGCCTTGAACACTGCCAGGGATGGGGCAGCCACAGCTTCTCTGGGCACCCTGTGCCAACGCCTCAGCACCCTCACAGGGAAGAGCTTCTTCTTAGCACCTAATATTTTAGAAAGATAGTATTTTAATACAGTAGCAGAAAGCTGAAGAACTTGCTTCTTGGTTTCTGTTACTCATCATGTAATATTTTGATATTATTTTAAAAAAAAAAGGTTGGTCTTACATTTATTTTGTAGTATGAGCAACAACAAATGGATGCATATTTATTTTTATTTTTAGAAGTGGAAAATATGTCTACAAACCCATCATGAATCAGACATGTTGCCCTCAATACACGATAAGGTAAGAAGCTCAAAATCTACTACTGTGATTTGACTGCTTCAGATACGTTCAACTGTTTGTATTTACTGCTTTACATACGTAACAGCACTTGAAGGGTTTATCTCTTGTAATGATACTTTGAAGGTGAAATAAGTGATGTTGGGTTTGTGCATAGGCCCATCAGTGGCTCTCTGATAGTTCCCTGTAAGCAACCTGCTAAGTGTACACCCTTGCCTTTTGCTTCTGGGTTGCAATCAAAAGAGTCCTGTGATTGCTGTCTTGCTTGCTGGTTTCAGGTGGATTATAATGTCTGTATCCTACAAACACTGTCTTAGTAGTCCAAGTAAGAGAGGCTGTCAGTTAAACAGGGTATGAATAATTCTAGATATGCTTTTCCTGTGTAAGTAGTTGGTATCAATGCTGTATCTAAAGATGAATAAGTGAAAGAATCTATTGCATTAGCCTCCTAGGAAAGCTTTTATGCACTGCCTGAGGTCACCTTGGCATAACATGGCATAAAGAATGACATTATGCAGTACAGGTATTATGTGTGTATAGGATATTATGCAGTATAATGTTATTAACTCAAAAGTGGTGATAAAATATTTGACCACTTCATATAATGAAACTTAAGAAATAGAAAATATGTCTATAGTGTAAATTTTTTAAGTGGCTCCTTAACCTATATTAGTCTTGAAATAATCTTTCCCAAAAGCAGTGGTGGTAATCTTTTCCTTTTAAGGTGCCAGGCTTTGCATTTTCAGACCTCCAAATCTCACAAGAAAGTTCTGAAGAAAATGCTGAAGTTCCTTTCCAAAGGGGATGTTCCGAAAGTAGTGAGTGAAGGTAAAGAAATTCTTCATGTTTGAAAATGAATACTGATGGTTGAAAAGAAGATCAGGTACCTGCTTGAATGATCAAATGGCTGATATGCCTTGATCCGAGGGCTGGAGCAGCTCTGCTCTGGAGCCAGGCTGAGGGAGCTGGGCTGGGTCAGCCTGGAGAAGAGAAGACTCCTGAAGGGGAGACCTGAGAGCAGCTCCAGTGCCTGAAGGGGCTGCAGGAAAGCTGGAGAGGGGCTTGGGACAAGGGCCTGTAGGGACAGGCCAAGGGGAATGGCTTTAACCTGCCTGAGGGGAGACCGAGATGGGCTCTTAGGCAGAAGCTCTTCCCTGTGAGGGTGCTGAGGCGCTGGCACAGGGTGCCCAGAGAAGCTGTGGCTGCTCCATCCCTGGCAGTGTTCAAGGCCAGGTTGGACACAGGGGCTTGGAGCAAGCTGCTCTAGTGGAAGGGGTCCCTGCCTGTGACAGAGAAAAGGAAGAACAAGCAGGGAAAGGAGGGTTTTTCTTTCAGGTGATTCAACAATCACACCCCATTTATCCAACACCAAAGCCACCTATTTTCAGTTGTGGTGGAACTTGTGTTTGTTTCTGAATCGTTATAGTTTGCCTCTTGTGTGTATGTGGGGCTTTTTTTGTTCTTTTTTCTTTTAGTTGTTGTTTGCTTGAAGTTATGGCATGAAATTAGTTGAATGACCCATTTTGGCGGAGAAAACTGTTCTATAGTAATTCAGGGTTGTAAAGGAAGTTTTCTGTGTTTTGACTATAGAGTTGTAAAGTTTAGCATTAATGGTGCAAAGTGTGAGCTGTGATCATGCAGATTGAAATTCACTCATGCAGTTGTTAATTACTTACAGAAGAGCCTATGGATTCTCACATAGAGGATGTGGGCGCCTGTGATTTTGCCTACAAAGGTGAATCACATGTCAGTCAGTCCGAACTGACTCCCCTGGGTGTGGATCACGCTGAGAGGGTGGAGAATGAAGATCAGGACACAGGAGAAAAGAAAGAAGAGGGCAATGAGCACAAGGTGGAATCAGATTCTCTTCGGCTACATGCAGATAAAGGGACACCAGTCCCTGGAGAACCATCACGTTCGGCTAAAGGTGTTCATGCACCACCTAAGCCAGGTAGTAATTGGAATACACTGTCATGACTCGCATATTGTTGAAGTCCTTTGTTTAGTCTTGCCTAGCACATCAGTAATAATTTCTTTCTATTTCCAATACTCTTCCCAGGTTATGGAATTTTATGGTGTAAATTGACAGGTGCTGCATGGTACTTCTTTTCTTAGTTTTTCCTGAAAGTTGCATTAATTTTCATTATATTTATTTATTGAGAATACATACCTACAGCTGATAGTTTTCTGTGCGGTGATTGAAGCTTATCAGACATTGGGACCAGTTTCCAATTTGGGATACTTTTGTGTGCAGAATAAGATGTACATCCAGCTTTTCCTTTCCACTGTAGGATGTGGTGATTCAGGCTTTATGCACCTTGAGAAATGGTTCATAGAATCATAGAACATTTCAGATTGAAAGAGACTCATGAGGATCATCAAGTCCAGCTCCCTGACTTGGATTCCGTGACTGTGCAAGACTAAGAGCTGGATACAGCTTTGGCTGCAGGAGTGCTAGTTACTCAGTTAGGTTAAGGCATAACTTTGCCTCTTGTACAGCAGTAGGAAATCAGTTTAAGACACAAGAAAAACATCTTAGTGTTGTTTTTACATTTCTTCATTTCTGTAGGTTGTCTTCTTCTAGTACAATTTGTATTGTTTACAGCCTAAATACACCCTTGTGAATAACTTCTTTAAGACTATATTTTTTATGCTCTTACAGACTACTTGCCACAGATCTAACTGGCACTGGAAACACATAGGGTATATTGTTGTGTTGTTATTTTGTAGGGTTAAAGAAAATTGTATAGCTTTCTGCTGATTAAAACACCCAAAGAAGTAGAGATACTTCTGGTCCTCTATAAAAAAATGACCTTTTCTAGGTAAGCAGATTTAACAGATTAAAAAAATCTGTTTAGGAGCTTTCCTTGTTTTATGTATTGCTAACTTTAGATTAGAAAAGCAGTGTTGCTGGAGGATATGAGTAGCCCCGAGAAGAAGGACTTGAGGGTGCTGGCTGATGAGAAGCTTCCCATGACCCAGCTTCAGTGTGTGCTTGAGCCCAGAACCCCCACATGTGCTGGGCTGCACCTCCAGAGTGTGAGCAGCAGGTTGAGGAAGGGGGTTCTCCCCCTCTGCTGTGGTCTGGGGAGACTCTGCCTGCAATCCTAATCCAGCTCTGGGGCAGCAGCACAAGAGGGACCTGGAGTTGTTGGAGTGAGTCCAGAGGAGGCCATGGAGATGCTGCAAAGGCTGGAGCAGCTCTGCTCTGAAGCCAGGCTGAGAGAGCTGGGCTGGGTCAGCCTGGGGAAGAGAAGGCTCCTGAAGGGGAGACCTGAGAGCAGCTCCAGTACCTAAAGGGGCTACAGGAAAGCTGGAGAGGGGCTTTGGACAAGGGCCTGTAGAGACAGGACAAGGGGAATGGCTTTAACCTGCAAGAAGGGAGACTGAGATGAGGTTTTAGGCAGAAGTTCTTTCCTGGGAGCTTGATGAGGCACTGGCACAGGGTGCCCAGAGAAGCTGTGGCTGCCCCATCCCTGGCAGTGTCCAAGGCCAGGCTGGACACAGGGGCTTGGAGCAAGCTGCTCTAGTGGAAGGTGTCCCTGCCCGTGGCAGGGGTTTGGAACTGAATGAGTTTTAAGCTGCCTTCCAACACAAACCATTCTTTGTCATGCATATTTTCAGGACACTCTTATTTTTTAAATAACTAATGAAAAACTCTGATTTACTAAACTTCATTTGGGTAACAAACGAAGTGGCCACAGACAGCAGATGGCAGCCTTGGGTAAAGAGTCTGTGTGCAAGCCTGCCTTTTCTTTGAAAAAGGTGAGAGATACGGGTTTCAGTTCTGTGACAAATAAAATTAGGTAAAACTTTAAACACTGGAAACACAGATAAAGAAAGCTTGAGTCATTGTGCTCTTTGGGTTTACTTCTATAGAGGAGAAATACCCATAGAATCATAGAATGGTTTGGGTTGGAAAGGACCTTAAGACCATCTAGTTCCAGTCCCCCCTGCCATGGGCAGGGATGCCTCACACTAGGCCATGTCATTCAAGGCTCTCTGCTTTTTCCTTTCTGGGGGTTTAAAAGGAAATATAAAAGTGAATAATAAATGTATCAGAAAGCTTATTTAATTAATCTTCAGTATTTTTTTTAGGGTAGATGGTGTCATAGGTCAAACGTAGTTTAAAATTTTCCAGGTAGAAAGATGTTTAGTTTTCGTCTTGGAAAATGTAGACTTGTTCCATAATCATATTGTTTAATTGCATTTTTATTCCATTATAAGCAAAACAGGTCATTGTCCTCTAGGAATAATGGCCTGTTTCTGCACAGTTTCAGATGGAAAAGAAGGTTTGCTTATGTCTGCATGCACATTCATTGTTTTAAGAAGTTTTTCTTGCTAGCTTTCAGCTTATAGGAGACATGAAACAGATCCTGATACAGATGAAATACTAATTCTTCAACTGTATCATGAGTATTTTAAATAAACTCTTCCTCTGACTTGTTTGCCTGTGGACAGGGCACATAAGATCTGTAATTTCCTCATAGGATTTGTCCTTTTCTGGTGAATAAGTTTAGCTCTATGGATGAAACAAATACTCCAAAACCTTAGCTGAGAGGTAAGAACTCTAGATAATGGGGCTGTCTAAAGAGTGCCAAAGTCGTATTGACTTGTTTTCTAAGTCCATGAGATGCTCTCAGCATTTCAGCTCTCATGGAGAAACCAGACTGGGACTTGTCTGGGTGAGCCATTATGAGCTTGCTACTAGCTTACCCCAGGAATACACTTACAAGCTCTGTAAATTCTGTATGGTATGCACATTAAAAAGAATAGTTTATATCCTTACTGATGCTTAAAGATTTATCCCAATACAAAGTATTTTGCCAGTTTCTATGATGTGTCTATTGCTAAGGAAAGATTCAGGCAGTGGCTCTGAGGGCTGCAGTTCTTTGCAGGTGAAGTAACTCTTACCATATCAGTGAGCTTTCACAATACCAGTGCACTCACTGTTCCCTGTCTGCAGAGAGGTACCAGTGTTCTCATTGTCCATGGGAAGGTTTGAAGTGGATTGAGGATAAGAAAGATGTCAGTTTTAGCTCAGAAGTTACTGGTAAGAAGGAGGAGAAGGAAAGAAAGATCTAGCTATGCTTTCATAGGAGTGCTGGGAAAAAAACAGTTTCTGTGTAATTTCCAGGTGTTCAAGAGTCAAGTAGGATAAGCTGTAGTTAAGTCCTGGTTTGTATTCTTCTTTACTTCTTATAAATACTAGGGAGTTGGAAGTGTGTTTCCTCCTAATGCTTCACATGAAAGCACCTGACTGTCCAGGGTACTTGTCCAAATGACAAGGTAAGTCTTTTGAAAGCTGCCAGTGTCTTTTGCCAGTACATGGCTTTCAGGAGAAAGCTAATGGCTAAAGACTTCTCCAGCACTTTGTCATCATATTTGTTACAGTTTTGGTCTTGTACAAGATGTATGGCACTATTTCCCTGTATGGGCATAAGTTTTTTACACTCACATGAGACTTTTAATATATAGCTCTTTTTTGGCCTCCAATTCATCTCCTACTGTCCTAAAAAGTAATAAGAAATGCAGAATTAGAGTTACTTTTTATTACACTAGCTGCCTGCTGGCACAGTTTTGTGTGCAGCTTTCCTCTATACGGAACTTGCAACAGCAGCTCCTAAGCTGAGGCAGATATTCCTGGAAAATTGAGTAGTCCTTCCACCGCTGTTTGCAGCGGTACAGCAGATTCATACAGCTCTTACACAGCTTCTGGAGTGAGGTGGGGTGTTGGTTACAACATGGAATAGCAAATCCCTTTGTGCAGTGATGTCCAAGTTTTAGGTAGGAATGAGAATGTTAGGATAGATGTGTCTTGCTTTTTGTAATTTTTTCAAATTTGAATTTATGGATTTACAATCAGTATTGAGTTGAAATTATATTGTTTGGGGAAATTGATACTTCGCAGAATCATAGAATTCAGACTGGTTTGTGTTGGAAGGGAACTTAAAGCTCATCCAGTTTTAACCCCCTGCCATGGGCAGGGACACCTTCTGCTAGAGCAGTTTGCTCCAAGCTCCATACAACCTGGCCTTGAAAGTACTTGTAAGTAGATTATTTGTTTGGTAATTTCTTTTCAGTGCTTATAATGGGTAGCATAGGACCAGCCATCTTTCATTTATTATTTATTGAAGAAGATTCTGTGTGAATTTTTCTAGTCCTGGCATTCTCCTATCTTGGCTTTTTATCTTATATTTGTATTATACGTATAAAATTATTCGGCCTCTTTGCTGAGGAATATAAACCACTTGGCTTTCTGTTTGTGCAAGTGTTTGGATTCATTATGCTTTAAAAGCTAAGTTGTTGTGGTGCTATGTACTGTTTTCCATGGTGATCCATTTAGTGTCTAGCTTTGACTTCTGTTCTAAGTAACGTTTCACAAATAGAACATTATGGATTGTTAAAGACAGAGGTAGATTGATAAAAGTGGATTGATTAGTAAAAGTAGGCAATCTGAATATATTTTTTAAGCAAGGATGGAAGCTTGTATAGCCTTTTAATCTTCTTTTATGTGACATTAGTTGCACTGGCAGGAGGATGGAACTAGATAATTGTAAGGTTCTATCCAACCCAAACCATTTAATGATTCTGTGAGAGTGGCGCTGGTGTTGGCAGCATTTCTATACGCTGAATAAGGATTCCAGGTCACAAAAAAGAAATGCTTTTTGTGTGTGTGTGTCTTTTACGGGTTGTGGAGCCACCTGAGTTTTGGAGGTAGCTGTGAGGTTTTGTGATTGTGTTTTTTCCCTTCAGTATTTCAGGCTTGTCCTATAGGTATTTGGATGTAGTACACCATCGTACTATGCATTAAATAGGAGCTTTTCTTTGTGTCTGAGAGGGGAATGTGGCAAATTGATTTAAGGACAGACTTAGCAGGAAGTCTTTCATTTTAGTTGTTAAATATATCCTTGGCTCTGGGGTGGAATCGTGGTCGAGGTGTTTCCATGGTAAATTGCTGCATTAAAACAGCTTTAGGAAAGAATCATTGCAGCTGAGCTTGGCACTGAGCATGGTTGCAGTTGTAAATGTGAAATACCACGTTGTGTTCAGACCACAGTGTGCAGTTATTGGTGATTTTAACCGTTTCTTGTCAGTGACTATATAAGAACTACTTGTTTGTTGCAAAACATGATGTTTAATTCTTTGCCTGTGCCCTCTAGGGAAAGGGGCTGACCTGAGCAAGCCCCCATGCCGAAAGGCAAAGGACATACGTAAAGAAAGAAAACTGCAGAAACTCCTTCAGAACCAGACGTGTACAGTGGAAGGATCTCAGCTTCAAGCAGCAGATCAAGTTTTCCTCTTGCAAAACTCTAAATCTAAAACAAACCAGCCTAAAACCATTGAAGACTTCGTTTTTGTCTCTTTACCTGATGATGCACAACACAAATTAGAGGTAATAGCTTGTTCACTGGTGTTGGAGGTGGAGTAAGGAAAAGTCTAGTTAAGGAGGTTTTAAAATGCTTAGGTGTTTAGAATCTGTGACTTTATGGAATGAGAATAGTTTAAGTCTGGAACTGTATATGGTACTGCATTTTATATATATAAATATGTATATTATATGTATATTGCAGCTGAGCTCTGTGTAACCACAAGAGGGTACTCGTGCACTTGCAGTCAGTTGTAACAGAGCCCTGTACAGTTACCAAAATAACTTGCAAATTGCTTTCATACAGTGTGACTTGAAAATGAAAGACTTTGAGTTAACCGAGTGTTGAATGATGAGAGATTCAATATTTAGTTCTGCAGTGTATGAATGCTTAAGCTATCTATGCTAATGAGTCTTGACAAGAAAGCAGTAACTGTTCATAAAATTAAACAGATAGGAAGACAGCTGCTCTTTGTAACTGCCATCAGTATGTGTTGATGTCTTTGGAAGCTGTAAAAGTGATGGTAGAAAACTTTGCTAACTATACTGGTTGCCAGTAAATCTATTAGGAATATAGAGACAGTAAGCTGGAAGACTTGGACTTCCTAACTTTTGTTAATCATAAACCCTTTCTTTTTTTTTTCCCTGAAAGCTGTAAAACCATCTGAATATAGGTATTTTCCTGTAGTTACTGGTTATCAGTGATGGTATTGGAAAATAACTGACAAGAAGCCATGGAATTGATCCACCTTGCGAACTCCTTCAGCTTTGCTGATGAGTTGTATAGTAACAGACATATGATGGCTTTATCTGATCATCTGCATTTAGAAGATGCAGGTAGCATTTAAAAGGAGCATGGTTCCAGCAGTGCGATTCTCTTTGCTGCTTACTATGCTGTCAGGTGCAATTTGTTTGTTACCTAGATCAGAACCAAAGCTTTTTGTGAAGATAGAACCATACTCAAAATTACATGGGTTTTTGAAATGACAGTGTCCTTAAATATGCTTGAAAAGAAAGGCCCTGTTCAGGTAAGGGCATTCTTTTGGTTAGGGAGCAATCATTTTTACTAAAGAACAATTTTTAATGTATAGATGCTATAAATATCTTTTTATGCGTGTAAAGGTGATGGTGGGGAAGATGATCACTTCCTATTACAGTTAACTTATAATTAAATATGGAAACACTGTTTCATCTTCCTCTTTCAATTTGAAAAATGCCAAGGAATCCCCTTGGGATTATTGCTCTAAAACCAGAGTCTTTAGACTAAGAGCATGGGAGTGTTCCAACTACCATGGGTCTTTTGAGTATTTTTCAGTGTAGTGTGAAACTACAAGAAAATCTCTCTACAATGTCAATCTGCATAGTACTTCTTGGTATTATTTCCTGCAAACTATTTGTGTAGTTCTTCTATAGGCATTTTAGTTCTCTTTAATTTGTGCTTCGTAAATTTTGTATGCTACTCAGTGTATATATTAAAGCCTTCAGTGGCCTAAAAGGAGCTGAAAATTCAAAGGCTATTTGTTAATATGAATTAAATTGTGAAGGTCCTTGTGCAGGAGGTCAAAACTTCTCTCTGTTGTGATGTTTGTGTATGTATATAGTTATTGTATGACATTGTAATAATTAATGTGTTTAACTTCTTCTGAAGGTGAGGGTGGTGAGATCATCTCCACCAAGTTCACAGTTCAAAGCCACATTTCAGGAGTCTTACCAGGTCTATAAACGTTACCAGATGGTTGTTCACAAGGACCCACCTGATAAACCAACTATAAATCAGGTCAGAAGGCCAAATGCATTTTGGGCAGAACTCAGCTTCCCCTCTATTTCATGTGCCTTGTTTCTAGTAGAAACAAATGTGGATTTTATATCCATTGTATATTCAGGAGTGTGTAAAATACTGTGTCAAAGAAAATCGACATCCTGAAAGTGCAAATTCTTTTGATACCTTTTTGTGGGTGCCGCAGATACTTGGTTTTAGTTGCAGACAGAGAAGTTAAGGAAGTTATATGGATGCTGCTGGGTCAGAGGTAGAGAGGATGAGGCTGTTGGAGGTAGGTGTTGTGGGCCTTAAAAATACAAATCACATAAGAACTAAAACCAGCTGGACATTTAGCTTAATAACTGGTCTCACTGGCTTTGGTTTGTAATGCTTCCATAAGGATAATCAGGGCTAACAATTGAGCACACATATAAATTGTTGGTGTAAAGGTCACAGAAGCTGCATAAATTTCCTTAACTTTCAATTTAAGCCCTCCAAAATGTAATCTCTGCACTCCATCTAAATCGCACATTGTTTTCTTCTTATAATGCCCAGGCAGAGCATAATAGTTACCTGTCAGGCACACCACCTTTCTACTATAAGAACAAAAGAAAAAGAGCTAGTCAGGAGTTTGGAGACATATGTGGGAAGAATACGTAATTGTTAAAACAGGGCAATGAGTTATATGCCATTAAAAATAACGCATCTTAAAAGTCCTTGAGGCTGTGCAGTGAAAATACAATGTGTGCTTGGGTTGTTAGATACTTAGTAAAAAAAAATAGGTTATGTAAATTGCTTCTTTGGAGTGTTGTACCATTTTTATCCTTGAAGGTATCAACAGTCAGTTTAAGCTTAGTTTTAGTTGTCAGACTTTCCCCTGTAGAAGGTTATGACGTTTAAAGAAAACTGATTTCAGAGGCTTTGAAGTGGCTAGGAGGAGATCTTTCACTAGCCTTACCTTCAGAAGCGTGTTACCTGTTGATATGCACTTAAACCAGTCTGCTTGTATTTTCCTTGCTCTGAAGGTGAGGTTAGTACCTGTCTCCTTTGAGGACCCCCAGTTCAAATCATCCTTCAACCAGTCAGCCACTTTATTTGCCAAGTATCAGATGGCTGTACACAAGGATACACCTTCTGAGTGTGGTGAGAACGAGGTACAGTTCACTGCATGCACCTTTATGAAAACATGGTTTTGAATGCCCAGTTAAATGATGGGAAATGGTGTCTCTTAAAGAGTGATTCTAAATGTTAAGGTATTGGAGTTTCTGTCGGGGGTGGGGGAAGTGTTGTGGTTTTTAGCAAGGTTCTGTTGCAAGGCTCCAGCCCAGGGGAAGCTGAGCTGAAAAGGGAAGGGTTATGCACTATCATAACTCAAAACCTGATGTTAATGAGTTAAATGGAGCTTGTATATGTATATGGTTGTAAAGAGGTCTGGGACTGAGACTTTCACTGGAAAAGGGTAATAATACGGAAGTGCTTTTTTTGATAGAGCATCTTCTGCTTTAAAGCTGTTGGGTACCTTTTCCATATTTCTCTTTTTTTTTGGTGGTCTTGCTTAATTAAACAGGTGGAGGTTTTAAAAATCTTGAGTTTCATTCACATGTCATTGCTAAGCAAAGCCCACTTCCCAATTAGAACTCACCTTGGCAGTAGAAACACTGCAAAAACATTCCCACCAGCTGCTTGTCTGAGATTCAGTGAGAGCAGATTGCCTATGAATAAAGCCTGTTTTTGAAATGGTGCTTACAGGATGCTAATCCTAATTCAATAATACTAATAGGAGCACTTGTAGGGTTCTAAAGAAGCAGCAATTCTCTATTTCTCTGGCAGGTGGCACAACATTTTCATCAGTGGAATTAATAAAGTTGCTACCTCAGATCTGTCATTTCTGTTTACCACAGAAGTCCAACTTCAGTATTGCTCAACTATCTACTCAGACTTTAGTGTTCTTGTGAGCAATACCTTGTGAGCAGAAGTGATGCCCAGCAAACTGTGGCTGCTTTCCAGGTAGAATAAGAAAACCCCGTAATCAGTTTTGGCTTTAGTTCAGAAGAGTGTAAGGAGAGCTTTTTTGTGAGCTCTCTGTAATGCTACTGTGGAAAGCCATAACATTTATTTCCCTTTGTTTTGTGAAATAATAGGGCTTGTAACTGTAAGAAGTAGTCTGTGCTCTTTTTATAATTGCTGATCTAATTTGGATTAATGATAATAATGTAAAAATTGAAAACATGCCAACAAAGATTGAGCTATTTACTAGATTTGTACCAGACTGATTTAGGGACTTGATTTGTCTGCTATGATGGATGTTTTTCAGCTCTAATGCTCAGATACAGCATATATGCCCCCATGCTTTTGCTCTGAGTATCTGGTTGCTGCAGAGTGGCTGATAAGAACTTCATATACTTATTCTTTGTTTAGAATTATGGATTTATTTTTGAATACAGTCATTACATTATGGTGAATCAAGGGCAGAATCATGATGGCTGCTTGCAGTTCAGTTCTGAACACCAGTTAGCTCCCAGTTTAGTTAAGCTCTGTTTGGGTCAGAGTGTGTGGTTTGGTGTAGACTTGGGTTTAATCACCCACGGAATAGGGAGGAAAACTTACAAAGATGTATTAAGGACAGTTGAGGTTTCTGCTCTGTTAAGGTGTGAAGTCTATAGTGCGAATTACTGTTGAATAGGAAGGAGATTGATTTTATTTACTTCTAACAGTTTAATGGATTTTTATCCTCCTCTTTTCCCTTGTTACTTACCGAAGGTAGTTCCCTACTTTCCAGTGAGAAGATAAAGACAGTTTGTGCAGGCTTAGTGTAATATTCCTGGGGAGACACAAGACCTTCTCTGAAGCATCTAATAAATGTACAAGCTCAGTCTGATGCTGATAAGTTTTGATTTAGGTCTCTCTTTAGCACTAGCAAATTCTGTTGTGTGTTCACGTGACTGTCTGGTTAAGAAGATCTTTTGGTCACTAAAGCTCTGTCACTTCAGTCAAAGCATTTTGTATTTGATCACTGCAGGAAGTAAACTGAAAAATACTTTACACAAAATGTATTTTGAGGTAGTTTAGGAGCCTTTTTTCCTTTTCATACTGTGTGGGAGGAGAATTATCTGAATCGCTTTAAGAACAGAAGGTACCAAAGAGGGTAAAACTGATCCAAGTTATTGAGGTGAAGGGTGGAAAATGCTGTTTGAAAGACCTCAGACTTTTTCTTCTTTCTCTTTTTTAGACTTTACTATATCATACAGACATTATGGAGCCAAGTAGATTTTTAAGTAAAGATAGAATAAAATCCTGTCCTATACACAGTGCTTTTTATCAGGGGAGTCACAAGTCTGTGTTGGGCCTTAAAGTGGCAAACACCCAGGAATTTGTTCTGCATCTAAAAATCAAATATAGCTTTTAATCTGTGCAAACCAATCTGTGTATGGGGGATGAACCTCCTTTTTGGGGAGAGCCCTGCATGCTTTTGTGTCTGAAAAGTTTCTAGCTTAGGAAAAGTATTCTATATCTGGCTGAACACTTCATGTTCAGAAACCTGTCTACATTTAAGTTGAGAATTCACCAAAAATTGTTATGGGCACATATGAACTTCTTTTTGGAATATATTCTTAGATTGGATTGTTGGCATTACAATATACTGTCAGCCTATATTAGCTGCTAGACTAGTTTAATATTGTCATTATATTAAGAGGCAATTTTAGGAATAGATTTAGAATATTGGTGATTATATAAAAATAGAACTAATGTGGAAAGTTATAAACCAGTTCACAGCATTAACAAAAGGTGTGTGAACCACGAAGTTTGAGTGTGAAAGCAAACCCTCTTCTGCACCCATGTAATCTATATACATCTTTCATCAAGATTTTTATGGGAGAAAAGGAAATAGATGATTTCCAGGACAGGGAATCCATGGAATATTTGACACTAAAGGTGACTTTGGACTACTGGGTGCTCTCAAGTGCCACTTTGAGATCAGTGACAAGTGGTGTTTCAGTGTCCTTTGACAGTGGCTTTTCCTGAATTTTGGCTCTTCCTCCTTGCTTCTTCCTGCTCTTCTTCTTCTGCATCTCTCATGGATGTTGTGGTAGCACTAATTGTAGCGATTGGTCATTAAACAGAGTTCAGTTTGACATTTTGCTGGGGAGAGTCCTGCAATGGATTTCAGTGATGCAATGCCAGTTCCTGATAAAGGCAGTGATTTCTGTTTGTTCTAATAAAAAGAAAGGTAGCAATTCCACAGTGAAATAAACTTTTTCTAACTAAGTCCCAAAGTTGCTGCTACCCCTGTGGTGATGAAACTTGTCTTTGCTATGGAAGCGTCATCGCAATGCTGAGTACCATTCTCATTGGCGAGTTGAGAGTTTGATGAGGTAGAATGATATCTGGTATCTGTCTAATAAGTTTATATTCTGAGTTACTATAATGCTTTTAAACTGACGAGAGAGAAGATTTAGATTCAATATTAGGAAAAAAATCTTTAATATGAGGGTGCTGAGGCGCTGGCACAGGGTGCCCCAAGAAACTGTGGCTGCTCCATCCCTGGCAGTGTTCAAGACCAGGTTGGATGGGGCTTGGAGCAAGCTGCTCTAGTGGAAGGTGTCCCTGCCTGTGGCATGGGGTTGGGACTGGATGGGCTTTAAGTGAACTTCCACCCCAAACCATTCTATTCTTTTGTGATCTAAAAGCTCTCAGCTAGGTTAGTTCTTTAGCTATATTCAGTTATTGAGCTAAAAAAAAACCCCACAACGTAGTGCCTGTCATACCAAATGGAGTTTTACACATAACATTGTCCTGTAAAAATTTGAAATGAAGCATTTTTTTCTTCCTGCCTCTTTCCTGGTGAACTTAATGGTTGCTCTGGGGGCAGCAATGTGATAACACCTTGCCCATTACTGTGATTTTGAGGCTTTTTACAGTAGTCTTTGTCTTTAAGAAACATGGCTCAAGTGTAACTGAAACAAGTTATGTAGCAGTCACACAAGTTAGAAAACATTTCCATAAAAGATCATAAAAATTCTACAGTAGTTCCAGAAAGAGCAAGAGTTGAACAGTTTATTGCTGTTTAGACCTCGTGAAGCAAACGTTTTATTTCACATTTCATGAGTGTTTTATAATGACAAACTTGAAGGAAAATAGAATGTGTCTCCGTTCCCTCTGCAAAGCTGACTGGACACTCTTTGCTTTGTGCTTAACTAAATATTTGTCTTGGAAGTAAGGAGTTTCACAACACACAAAAGAGACACTGTTTGAGAAGGTGCAAAGAATTACTGAAATAGGTGTAGTGGGGTTTGTTTTTACATTCCCAGTGTTTTTTGGATTTGCCTCCCAGAAATCCACTTGAACTACTATAGAGAACTGAGTGAGTAGTGTGGGACATGCCAAGGAGCACATTTGGATCCATTTGAAAGCTGGAAGCAGCAGCCGGTTGCACACTTTTAGGTCTCTCTAAGCTATTTTCCTCTTTGTTTTGTAGCATTCTAGTGAGAGAATGCTTAAAAACTCCTTAGGTTTGAGGTTATTTTTAACCTGCTGTTGCTTGGCGTGGCAGCCATATACTTTTATAATGCTCTTGAATTAGTTCTTTTATCATTTTGGGTGATGGCAGCAATAAGCTGACGATTGGCTCTTCGTGGTCGCTGCTGCAGTGAGCTCATGTTGCAGATCCCTGATAACGCTGATTTAAAGTATTCCTTTATCAACCTGATTCCTCCCATTTACTTGCAAGACCCTTGTGAACTGTAGTGCTGCAGGTTCTTGGATTTTAGGCTTGACATGCCTAAAAACCCAGAGAACTTGCTCATCCAAGCAATTAAGTGGCTTGTTCACAGTCATATCATTTCAATTCAGATTCTTACTGCATCAGTTTGTGTTGTTTCTCCTGGTTTTGACGCTCAGTTTTCTATATAGCCATATGAAATTAAAAAGTCTTTACACTGAAACTAACAAATCCCCATTATTTTGTAGATAATTTTCTTCTGAGCAGACAAAGCCCCAGGGACTTTGGTCACCCCATGAGGGAATTGAAATCGTAGTTCTGAAATGTACATTCTGTCCCATCAGCAGTTATTTCTATTTCCTTAGTCCAATTCTTGTACTGAAAACTACATTTGAGACATCCATTTGAACTTTGTCTCTTTCCTTATGTGCTATGTTTTAAAGCCTCTTTCTTCACCTTCAGGTCTGTAGATATCTCTGAAACTGTATTTTGTTAGCATTCCTGTATTGTTGTAAGTCACTGTTGAAAATGCTGAATAGAGCCAGTTCCAGAATAAGTCTTATCTATCTCTAGACCTTAGGCAGAAGCTCTTCCCTGTGAGAGTGGTGAGATGCTGGCGCAGGGTGCCCAGAGAAGCTGTGGCTGCCCCATCCCTGGCCGTGTTCAAGGCCAGGTTGGACACAGGGGCTTGGAGCAAGCTGCTCTAGTGGAAGGTGTCCCTGCCCATGGCAGGGGTTGGAAGTGGATGAGCTTTAAGGTCCCTTCAACCCAAACCAGTCTGGGATTCTATGACAGTTCAAAGCTGTTTTTTCCTGAGCAGGCTATGATGTGTGACATCAGTAACTCTTGCCTTTAGAAAGTTCCTGAGCTACCAGGTGAAACTGTTCCAGTTTAGCATCCAAAGCACCTGAACGTCTTCCTCCACTTTCAAAAGGCAGGAGGTGTTAACACCCTGGTTTAATTACAGCTTTTTAAAGCTGTGCATGTGCTTTTACTTGAGCAAGTACTTTTGGGTTGAACCAAATCTTCCTTTTTTTTTCCTGCCCCTCCTGCCTTGATTTACTTCTCAATGATGCATTCATCCCTTAGTTTTATTAATTCTATTTAAGTTATTTCCTGTTGTTCTGTTAGTTCTTTCTGGCAGTTGCAGTTAGTTTGCACCAAAGTAAAAATGTTTCATATACATTGTACAGTTTTTGAAAGACTAAAGTTTATGTAATTCAGTTGAAAATTAAAATTGGAAAAGCATGGCTTTGTGAAAGGAATTCTGATTGTGCTTGTGTAACAGATTGAGTTATTTTACATGCAGCACCACCTTTTGACTGTGTTTCTCTCATGGTTTATTGAATCCTTTCTGAATTGTGTTCACAATAAGCTTGAGTATTAAATGAGTTTGTTAATTTAGAAACTGAGTCTTGTGTTTACTTCAGTTTAAATACATGTATAGATTCCATAGGTCCCTGGCTTAGGAAGAAAGGGATATGAAGTTGGTCTAGTGGAAGGTGTCCCTGCTTATGGCAGGGGATTGGAACCGGAGGAGCTTTAAGGTCCCTTCCAACACAAACCAGTCAGTGAATCTGTGATTCGAAAGGGAGAATAAGTGTTGAGAAGGCAAGGGCAGAGGTCAACTGATCTAAACTCATTAAATTCTCCAGCTTTATGTCAGTTAAATTCTCCCTTAACAGAAAAACCCCAACAACAAACACAGAACAAAAGATTGTTGGGATTTTGGGTAATTGTTTCTGAATAGATTTCTAGAGAAGATTGAGTCTTTTGAAGCTTTCTATGACTTAAGGAGATTGTCTAACCTGAGAACGTTAGCAAGTTTCAACAGGTAAAAGCAGCAAGACTTGCAATGGTGTTTTTTTCCCCATCAGATTGTGATACAAATTCAAGCACAGTTAAGTTGTTTTCTAGCCAGCAGTATAGGTAGCTGTAACAGTATATACTCCCCAGCAAGCAGAAGTCATGCTTTAGCTACACTTGGAGTCCCCCTTTGCCCTCAAAGCCAAGGGATTGTTCAGGAGGGCCTGGAGAACTGATAAACTATTTGAACAGTGCCGTTGGCTCCGTTTTCTCACCCAGAGGCTTTAACTCGCACTATAAAGCTAAAGTTACAGATTAAGAACTATTGGGGGTCTTCTGACATGAAAATTAGTAGCACATGGTTTATTATTTCTGAAGCCTGCACGTTCTAAACTCGCTGGCTGTAAGGACTGATGCAGCCACAGTGTAGGAATTTGTAACTCTGTTCTTTATTTAATGGAATGGAACAATTCAAATTCTGAATTACTTTTTATTTCTCTTTAAGTGTTATCTTTATTCCCCTTCTTGTTCTCTCTCTGTATCCACCACATCAAAAACCCCCTAGACTTGAATTAAGATACAGCATTCAATTTTCTAAACTGAGTAACTTAGAGGTGTGGTGACTAGGTCTGAAGTGGTTCATTATAGGAAATGCACAATCTCCTGCTTTCACCTTTATAGAAATTAAGTTTTCTTTCATAAAGTCTGTGTTCAAAGGTTTACCGTTCATCCATAGCTCAGCTACTGCTACATGTTTGAGGGGGGAGAAGTCTGAAGTAGATGATCTTAAGGTCCTTTCCAACTTTTAACTATTCTGTGATTCTGTAAGTAAGACTTCTACAAAGCCTTGATTATTTTAGCATCAACAGATGCACTTCCTTAGAGACACAGTCTTAGAGGAGGTTCAGGTTGTGTTCGCTTCGAGCTACAATGAGTATGGTCCAGTTAATCTTTGCAGATCAATATATATATAATCTACCAGAGGCTGTGGTTTTATTGCTGAGAGCTGTTTTATAGCACCTTCTGAAGAAAAAGGGTAGTTACTTAGGCTGTGTATGAAACTCTGTTCTAAGTCAGCAGCTTGCTTTGTTTGCGCTTACTGTTGCTTTCCTTCCTCTCCTCCCCTTCTCTGGAAAAACCAGGATGACTGGCGAGTAATCTCCCCATTTTTGGTATTCCTCTTTAAATGGAATAATCTTCTTGAATTAATTGAAGAAGTTCATAGAGTTCTTGACAACAGTCATGTTTTTATAGGTGTCATGTTCTGTTTATCAAACTTTGAATTAAAAGTTCTATTTGCTATTACTTTGCAGTTAGCATAATGCTGGTATATTAAATGTAGCCCTTAGAGGAGGGAGGATTAATCTGTGTAACACACATTAGCTTTTTAACAAAGGGATGTTTTGGGGTTAAACACATACCAGAAGTTTACAACTTTTAATGTGGAATCCACCAATAAGGAAGTATTTGTATCAAATAAGTAAATGATGGTAAATAAATACCTATTATGTTTTATTACTGTTAGGATCTTGAACAAGATCCAGCTCATTAAATCTTTGCTTTTTGGGTTGATTATCAGCAGCACATCACTTTGTATTCAGTAAAGAATGTAGGTTTGAAAATACTTGCACTTTCAGGAAGTTGATTTTTCTTTCTTTTCCTTTTGTTTCCTTTTCTTCTTCTTCCTCTTTAGACTTAAAATGGGCTTGCTTATGATTCTGGATGTAAATAGACTTAATAAATGTAAAAGAGATGAAGGCCCTAGTCCTCTTGCTTTAGTGATGGGGCAGGTACCAAGGGGATGGTGGGAAAAGGCTCTATATTGCAGGCAGGGAGAGAAGGGTAATGGGTAATTTAAAATGAAGACACCAGAAACAGACCTGTATTATAAGGTGATAATTCACCTCACGTTTTAAAAGTACCTTGGATAGTTGATTATTGTATCTATTTGTACTTAACAAAATAGAATATGGGACTTAAAGTTTATTTTACCTCTTAAAAACTGATGGCATTCTTCAAATAGATGGTTTTGAAAGAGTGTGTTTGACTGTTACTGTATCCTGGTGTGCTGCTAATGTTTTTCTTCCTTTTCTGCTTTGCATATTTGGACTGTCTTTCTGGGCACCTATTTCTGATGAATCTACCTCGATGCAGTTCACACGATTCCTCTGTGATTCTCCTCTGGAGGTATGTATCCATTTTAGATGCAAGTTTTGAAATGAATGTGTTCTTTCCTTTCCGCTCCCTGGGGACAGCAAACCATTATGATGTAGGTGGTATAGATGGGTAGCACAATGCTTATATCATCACTAACTGGTGAGGAAGGTCGCATTGTGTTTTCAAAGGAGTCTCAGAACTCTTCTGCTGGATAATCAGCTGGATAATAAGCTACCACTGAATTTCACGTCACTCCGTTAAGAGCCAGGAGCAGAAAGTGCTGTCTTTTCTGTTCTTGGTTTATTTCTATGAAAGAAAAAAATATATTACTAAATAACTTCCTAAACTTGAATTTGACTGCAGTCTGAGTTAAAAGTTTAGGGGAGATGCTGTTGCTTCATTTCAAACAAGCAAACTGCTATGGATTTCTAGCACTGTCTTTCTTGTTAGTCTTAAAGAGTTAAGCACTGTGTGACTGTAATGAAATTGTCAGGTTATAGTAATTACGCCAGTAATGTGATCTGTCGCAGCTTGACTGAATCCATGTGTGGAAAGTTTGTTGCTTTTCTCTGCCGAGTCCACTGGCCTTTACATTCCTGAAAGCTGAAGAGTAATAGAGCTCATTAGACTTTATAGGAAAAGGGCTTTTATCACCTCGTCAACTCAGGCAGCAGACTGCCATTATATTCTTCATTCCGTATGGCTACATAGATGTTGATGCTCGCTTCCCTGCCAGGTTTATACCAGTATTGTTACTTACAGACACTTTTTATTGACATTTCCAAGCTTGAATTCAATTTTGTGTGGCACCACTACACATGTCTTCAATTAGATGAAGTTAAATAAAAGGGGTTGTATATCAGAGGCCAGGGGATTCTTGGAATTCTTGATTCTGAAGCAGTTGCCACAAGCAAAGGTAGTAAGTGTGTAGTCTGTTTACTCTTTTGAAGAAAAATAAGGGAAGGTTTAGATTTTACTTTCAGTTCGTTCAATTTGTCATTGTTTGCACTGTCAATGTTGTTATTAGCTGCAAATAACACAAACACCCAAACTCTTCCTGGCTTTTTTTTACTTCCTCATTTTAATATTCTCTTCAGTTTATTTTGGCTATGGGCTCTGGCACAGAAAATGAGTAACTTAAAGATATGGTGTGTAGTAGCAGAAACGGAGGCAATTTTGTAGCAGTAAACAGGATAATGTAGAGGGAACTGTTTGGGTAGGTTTTATTCATCCTTTCTTAGAGGCTGCATTTAAACACTTGCCATTTCACCACTTCACATAGGCAAATACTACCTTGTTTGGAGGGGTAAAGCTACAGTGTCTAAGAGATGCAGGAGTCTTAGCCAAAAACCAGTGTGGCCTCATTCCCTGTTGTTGCCAAGGTGAGGGTGTTATGGCAGAAGGGCACAGGGAAAATATGGACTGCTTGGGGTGATTCCTAGTTTTTGCTGCTTGATTAGGAGAGTGTTTGGGCCCGTAGTTATATCTGCCGTTGTCCTTCCCAGGTTGTTCCATGTCATTATGATGCAGCAGTTGGAATGAGTCTCAGTGCTCAGATTTGTCGTAACATTCCACAGTTGAATGATCGTTTTATTTTGTTTAAAAATCCTTCTGTAATTGCTCTTTTGTCTTTTTCCATCTTGACTGATGCTACACCCATTTATGAAATAGATGATTTCATAAAACTGCTCTCAAAAGTATCTTTTGGAGTGAATTGCTAATTTATACATGTTGTTTTGGATGTGAGTCTGGCAGTGTTTCCCCCATGCATTTATATTCTGTGGGTTTATGAACATTTGATATTTCCTCTGCCTTTTTAATCATTCAGTATTACGGATTTTTCCTATAGTTGTTTACACTCGGCTCTTGTTCTTTCATCTTGAATACTTTTAAATCACCAGCTCAGTTTGCTGCAACATTGCTCAGTGATTCACCTACCAGTGTGGGGAAAATAATGGATTCAGCGCGATGGAAAGTGAGCTGCTTTCATAGCATCACAGACTGGTTTGGGTTGGAAGGGACCTTGAAGCTCACCCAGCTCCAACCCCTGCCACGGGCAGGGACACCTTCCACTAGAGCAGCTTGCTCCAAGCCCCTGTGTCCAACCTGGCCTTGAACACTGCCAGGGATGGGGCAGCCACAGCTTCTCGGGGCACCCTGTGCCAGCGCCTCAGCACCCTCCCAGGGAAGAGCTTCTGCCTAAGAGCTCATCTCAGTCTCCCCTCTGTCAGGTTAAAGCTATTCCACCTTGTCCTGTCACTCCATGCGATTTCCATTATGTAAATGATTATTTGTTCTCACTTTATTGCCTATAATCCATGTTGAGATGCTTTTGAATTTTAAGGAACTGAGAGATGCTTGTGAAACTAGATCTTTGTCCTTTGAAAAGCACATCAGCTTCTGCTCTGCATTATTTGCTTTATTGGTATGTGTTAATTATTAGGGGATCTAATAACAAATGTTAATGTTGCAAATCTGTGATTCCCAGGGTCATCTTCTGTAGAATGTCATATTTTAGTCAGTTCAAGGCACTGCTCAGGATTAAAATCAAAACTCATTTCATTTGGAGATCTTGGGAAACTGCTGTTTTCTTCATCCCACCATGATGTCTGTGGGGTGATACTCAAAAGTCTCTTGCCACTGAAGTGCCTTGTACCTTCACAGCTTCACTAATCTTTTTAGCATTTTAAGCTTGCTATAACTGTCCTGATTAAATAGCTGACAGTATAGCTCACATACTCTACTTTTCCAGTAAGGTGCGTAAGTTAGCTCTGTAGACAGTGTCTTACATTTTGATGCAGTGAGTTGATTAACTTTGTTTTGATACAGAATTTATCAGGTTGGAATGAACCTCTCTAGATCCAGTTAGTCCAACACGAGCAGGTTTAGCTAGAGCAGGTTGTTGAGGACCATGGGTTTTGAATATCATCAAGGATGGAGGCTCCACAGGCTCTCTGGCCAGCCTGTGCCATAGCTTGACCACCTTCTTGGATAAACCCTGTTTCCTTCTGTTCAGATTGAGTGTGTTGTAATTTGCAAGCATTGCCTCTTGTCCTGTCAGTGGTAACTACTGAGAAGAATCTGGCTCCTTTATCTTCATTCCCTCCCATCAGGTATTTCCAGATGTTGATAAAACCTCCCCATGTCACCTGTCCTTGAGGCTGAGGAGTTGCAGCTTTCTTAAACTCATTGTATACAGCAGATGCTCGAGCCCCTTAATCATCTTTATTGCCCTTATGGACTTGCCATAGTAAGTCTGTATTTTAACTGCATGGGGAAGACGCATCAGTGCTGAGCAGAGAGGAGAGCTCACCTCACTTGATGAGCTAGTGCAGCCCAGAGTGCTTTTGGCTTCTTTTTCATCTGTGAGGGTGCATTGCTGGCTTATTTTAATGAAAACATGCAGTGCTACCTCTGTGCTGACACAGTATTTGTAGGCTGCTTTCACAGCATCTCCACTAATCCCTAATGAAAGGAGGACATAGTACTGAAAAGGAAATATGTTGCTAACCAAGAGATAGAGATCAGCCATATGGCAGGTTGTGTGTGTGTACCTTTGGGAAAGGAACTGCTGGAATGAATCAGTTTACTTATTCAACAAATAATTTCCACTGGAGTGTAGAAGTCCAGGGTTTCCTGGCTTTTTTTTCTTTTTTCTGTGTAAGGGATAGCATGGATTTCATGGCTTCCTCCTCCCTCTATCCACAGCAGAGGATAAAATGGAAAAGGTCAAGATTGGGAGTCTCATGAAACTTTAGAGAGAAAAATAATCATGATCATGCAGTTAGTATGGTCAAGACCCATTCTGGGTAAGGGTGCGGTGCCTTCTGCAGTTCACACTGGTCTGGCATGTGCGCTAACAAGTGTAATTTCCATAATAATAATAATAATAATGAATTAATACAACATCCCTTAAAAGCAAAGACCAATGTGCTTTGGAGAAAATTGAGCACTGTCATCATCACTGAAATTTAATTATAAGCAGTTACTGCCTGGGGTGGGCTAATTGAGGCAGTATGTAGTACCAGTTGCTATTAAGTATTTAGGTTTTAATAATGCGTTGTAAAATATGAGCAATCAAATGTGTCCATGGAATCTTTAGCTGGCAAAATATGAAGATGGATAGGATTAAGATGGGATGGAATATATTGTGGTTTTCTCTGCATTATAGTCTAATCATTGGAGAGAAAATGACTTGTTTCAAGTCTGTTTTGTACTGGATTTAAGATGTGGTCTTGGGAAGAAGTTCTTTATAGTGAGGCTGGTGATGCACTGGCACAGGTTTTGATTTTGGCACAGGATTGATTCCAGGGCTAATATATAATTTTGGGTAGATAAGGTAAGCCATTATTGGTGGGGCTTGCTCCCCTGATGTCCCTGGTATATCTTATATCACCTTTTACGGATGTGGTCATATCAGTAGTGTGAAGTGGTATAACCATAACCTGCTTCGGGAAGATGTTTCTTATTCCTGACATGTTTCATGTCAAATTCTCTCTATGGTGCCTGAGAAATCAAGTTAAAAGAGCCAAGTATTCACTGAAAAATTGAGCAAACAAAACGCAAGCATTGTAAAGGGTAAAAACTTTTGAAGGAGGAAGAAAATGTTACTGTTTTCAAAGCCTTATTTCTTAATGTAGTGGAGAACCCTGAATGTTTAACCTGAAATCAGTGCTGTGCTTATGCTGTTTGTCACAGAACATAAGCCCTTTGTGTTCATGACCTTTCACTGTAATTGCATTAGGGAAATAACTGCAGTTTATGCTTTGCTAGAAGTTCTTGACTGATGCTAACACTTCAGTTTGCAGAAGTGACCAAACCCATCCAATGCCATTTGGAGGTTTGGGGTTGCACACAGACACAGCATTTATTTAACTTCAGAAGACTTTGCTCTGAGTGAAAACCTTTTCCCATGTTGGCTTAGGCTGTCTTTTTTAACATTCATTAAACCCTGTGTGTAGAGTTCTTGACAAAGAAAGAAAACGTGGTTTAACTGAAACTTGCTTAACCAAGTGTGTGTTATATTATCAATCACATTTCCCCTGGGCTTGCAGGAGATGATTCACTTTTTCTGTCACCCTAATGGCTGAGAGGAGAACTTGGAGACAATCTCTTACTTAACTGTGTCCCAGCTTTAAAGTTTTGCTTCTGACCACAGGATTTCATTTGGCTCTACTGAAAAGTTATGGATACGGTATGAAACCATAACTGTTGAATAAGTAGGCTTTGCCTGAATGAGAAGAAACCCAGTTGCATACACTGCAGACTGAGCTTTCAAACGTTTGATTGTTTCATTTTTCCAGTATTGGTAGTTCTACATCTAGTTTTCTGCCCTGTAACTGTATAAAAATGCAAACCCTTTATTGTATGGTCTTTATTTTGGGACTTCTTTGTTGGGGAAGTCAGTTGAACTGATTTTTGTTCACGTGATTGATTCCTTTTGACACATGTGGTACCAATTAGAATAACTTCCACTGCCCATCATCTCTTCAGTCTGCGCTACTGTATCAAAATACTTGATTAAACCCACCTTCTGTTGTTGTAATGCAAAACAGTTGGTAATAGTAGGCAATATTGTCAGATTTATGGAGTGAGAAGCGGCTTTCTGAAGATCTGGCAATGCAGTGAAAAACATGACTAGATGGATAATTAAGTTGAACGCAGTGGAATTTGGGATTAAAGTAAACTTGACGTGGGAGAAAATGGCATGCCAAAGTTGGTTGTGTAATACAGTTTAAATTAGAAGATCGTTTTCTTCTTAATTTGAAGCATCAGGTTTTGGCTCTAGGTGCTTTACCCTGTCTGGAGACATACTTCAGTGCACATCCAAACCCACAGCGCACAACAATAGCGAGTTCCTTAGGGGGTTTGTAGAAGATGCTCTGATGTGGGCTGACAAAGAAGTTCCACAGATTTGTTTGCAACACAATTCCAGGTGCTTGGATAAAAGGTGTTTTGTTGGTCAGGAAGAGTACAGCTCAGAGTAAGCTGATCAGTTCTCTTTATAAATGCTTTTCTCAAGCAACTTTAGTGGCCTCTCTGACAAACTGATTTTTCCAGTGCTTGAGGACATGGGGGAGAGAAACACTGAGGTCCTTGCTGTGACAGTGTCAGAGGAGCCAGGAAGCCAGAGCCTGCCTTGGGAACAGCCAGCGCAGTGAAATGTCTGTATTTCACCTTTCTGCCTTAGGGCTTTGTCTCTTGTAGGAGAGTAAGGAGGTCAAAGAGTATCTGCAGAATTTGTGTGTAATAACGTGTTAATAACTTGATGAATTGCATTGTTTTATCATGCCACTACTGTAAGTGGTGGATGGCAGGGGCTATTTGCAGATTCCTGGCTGGTAGGATTGCTGCCCAGAGAAGCTGTGGCTGCCCCATCCCTGGCAGTGTTCAAGGCCAGGTTGGACACAGGGTCTTGGAACAACCTGCTCTAGTGGAAGGTGTCCCTGGCCATGGCAAGAGGTTGGAACTGGATGAGCTTTAAGTTTCCTTCTGACACAAATCAGTCTGGGATTCCATGATATGTAGAGTTTGCCCATCATAAATACAGCAAAGGTCACAAATATGAACTACTGTTGTTTTACCTGCTTCTCAAAGTCCTATTTTCCCTTTTCTAAACACAGACAGAAGGAGTAATTTCTTACAATATTTATTTCTGTGTTAACGCTCTTTCTCAAATCAGTTTTTATACTGAGAGTCTGCCTGTCAGACAATCACATCCCTCTTCATTCTTTTTGCTCAGGCAGAGAATGCACCAAATGGACCAGAATGTGGCTATGGCTCTTTCCACCAGCAGTATTGGCTGGATGGGAAGATAATTGCTGTTGGTGTCATTGACATCCTGCCCTACTGCGTGTCCTCTGTCTACCTGTACTATGATCCAGACTACTCTTTCTTATCTTTGGGAGTCTACTCTGCATTACGGTAAGAGGACTTTTTTGTTATCTATAATAGTAAGAATTGATACTTGTTCCTCAACTTGAGCTTTTATTTCCAGTCTAAGCACTGGTAATAGTAAAGTATTTGTGGTTTATTTATATTTACTTATTTCTTATTAATTCTCTGTGGTTGGTTGTATTCCAAATACGCTTGTAATTGCCATCCTTGGACAGGGATGGATCTTTCTAGTTAGCTAAATACTTTTACAGACTAAGAAAACACTCAGAAACAAAATACCCAGTTCTTATTGCCCTTGCAAATAATTTAGTATTGCTTGGTCTCAGCAGGAAAAGCCCCTGTTTTGTTTGAATAGAAATAATTTTTCCTTTGACCTTTTGCTTAGCCTAGTCACCAAATGAAATGAATCACTTTTATAGTTTTATGCACATAGTGATCATAAATAAGAGAGTACCTAAAACCTGTTGTCTTCTGAATTAGTAGTCTCCTGTTGTACTAGCAGTAGTACTTTCAGGTATGTTAATCTCATTATCTTTGTCTTCAGAAAGCCTGATGGGACAGAGTAATCTTATGAATGTTAAAGCCTTAAATTAACTATCAGTCTAGTCATGCAAAACAGTAGGGGTTGTGGGTAATGCTTTTCACTGTGAGTAAAACTTGTCTGCTAAACCTCAAGTTCCTATTCTTCTTCCATGAGCAATTTTACGATTTCATTGTTATTACAAAGGAAAAAAAATAACCCTAAAGAGTGGAAATATTTGTGCATCTCCAGTGGTCTGTGTCTAAAAGTCTGAATTATCACTTTCCTGAGGCATTCAGTGGCACTGGTGATTTTAGAAGATTAATCAAAATTAACAAATTTACGTAAAATGTTGGAACTCCTGTGAGTTAGAATTGTTTTTTTCTGTCAATGGTCTAGATTTTTAGAAGTGTTTTATTAGATCTGTTAGGATTTTTTATTTACATAAGCTAGATATTACTGCCTGTAAGAAAGCTGGAGAGGGGCTTTGGACAAGGGCCTGTAGGGACAGGCCAAGGGGAATGGCTTTAACCTGCCAGAGGGGAGACTGAGATGAGCTCTTAGGCAGAAGCTCTTCCCTGGGAGGGTGCTGAGGCACTGGCACAGGGTGCCCAGGGAAGCTGTGGCTGCCCCATCCCTGGCAGTGTTCAAGGCCAGGTTGGGCACAGGGGCTTGGAGCAAGCTGCTCTAGTGGAAGGTGTCCCTGCCCATAGCAGGAGTTGTCGCTGGATGAGCTTTAAGGTCCCTTCCAACACAAACCAGTCTGGGATGCTGTGATATTTGAAATTAGACTGATTATTAATTTTTCCATGCAAGAAGAGCATATAGCATAAAAAGTCAAGTCCTTGTAAGAGAGTTAGCTTTTAGTATTTGTACATATCACATTACTTTATGTAATAATAGACTGACATAATCCCTGCTTATGAATTCTTGAAATGATTTTGAATTTTCTACATAATAAATTGAGAACTTTGTGGGCGCAACATGCGTGAATGGCTCAACTAGAGAAAAAGCAGCTTATAAATTCTGCAGCATTTAAGGCAATAAAAACGAGTTCCCAGCAGTCTTAGGGGGAGCCAGTCTTGTTCCCCTTTCAAAAAGGGGAAAAAAGCCTGGAGAGCTAGGGAGGATTTAGGAAGTTGCAGAGGAATCTGATACCTTCAAAGCTGTTGCCAATTTTACTCTGAGGAGGTTAAACTGCATTGCAGCGCTGTCACTTCCACTTCATGCTACTCTGAGAGTTTTTGCTGCTGAGTCGTAGAAAGGATGGGATTTGTGGATCATTTTGAACTATGTAGGCATGTAAGTAAAGAATGAGGGGCGAAGAAGCTACTTGTGAAGTAGCAGACTTACCAAAGGAAAAACAGTCTTCAAGAAATATTGAGTGATTCTTATTCTTCTTTGCATGAAGAAGTTAAACCTTCCCCTTGCTACCTGAAATCATGAGTCGTAGACAAGCGTAATACTCATCACCTCTAGTTAGCAGGAGGACAAATACTTGAACTACTTTTGCAGTTGGGTTATGTAGCACTGAAATACTGTCTGAATTTTGTATTGATGAAATGAATACAACTTCCTCCCTAGCTGATAACTCTTGCCAAGCGCTAACAGCCATCATAATTCTTTAGATGTGTACCATAACCTAAAGCTTTAGAAAAAGAGTAATTGAAAGTCTGTAGTCTCCTTTCCATAGGAAAGATTTAGGCAGAAAGAACACAAGTAGACGTATGTTACACCATACAGTGACATCTCATCACTGCTCCTGGTGAAAAATAGAATCATAGAATCCTAGAATGGTTTTAGTGGGAAGGGAGCTTAAAGCTCATCTGGTTCCAACCCCCTACCATGGGCAGGGACCCCTTCCACTAGAGCAGGTTGCTCCAAGCCCCTGTGTCCATCCTGGCCTTGAACACTGCCAGGGATGGGGCATTCACAACTTCCCTGGGCAACCCTTCCAGTGCCTCACCACCCTTACAGTAAAGAACTTCTTCCTTACATCTAACCTGAACTTCCCATGTTTCAGTTTAAGTTCATTGCCCCCTGTCCTATTGCTACAGTCCCTGATGAAGAGTCCCTCTCTGGCATCCTTATATATATGGATGTAAAATGGAGTTAGAGGATGCTCTTGCATTGGATCATAGCATATGCTTCTGAAAAGCAGAAAGAGAAGAATGTTTTAGCACTCTCCTATTCACCTTTGCCTGGAGTGGGGTTGGCTGAATAGATAAATGAAAGATAGTGCAAGAACTTGGGTTAAGAGTCCTTACCTAGAGAATATCACTGAAGGCTGTAGCCCATGCAAAGACATTGGCAGTAGTTCTAAGCTTTGGTATCGTGCACTAATTCGCTGGCCTAAAGCTTTGTTGCCTATGGTGAGACTTGTTGCTGCAGCCCAATTTTTGCCTCGTTACATTATGGTTTACTTTCTCTTCTGTTCAATTTGAGTCTTTTCATTTTATTAGATCAGATACTTTATAGTCCAATGGGAAAGAGTGTTAGGAGGCTTTTGAAGTGCAAAGATAATTTTCCCTTTTAGTGTTCCAGCTTTTTGAATTGCAGAAAGGTATTTAATTAGGTCCAGGATAATCTGCATGAGACAGTAAGCTTGTTTAACTTCACGCCATGTCTTAAAGATTATCTGGATGAAGTGCATGTTTGCACATTTTGGTAGTACATAAATCCAGTTTCTGGAACCCGTTCTTTTTACCTGGATTTGCAGATACGGAGTAACTTATTTCCAGACATTCTCCACTTCTTGAAAAAATTTATATAGATACAGAGTTAGAATGAACTCATGATGGTCTCAGCAAACTAAATGCAACTGAAATGTTATGTTTTCAGTACCTTTAATCATCCTGCTAACTAAATATTAAGGGATAAACCCCTGAAGTATTAGTGTATGCTCCATATATGCACATGCTCGTACTTTCTTATCCCTTCGACATTGAAAGTAAGAACCAACATTTATGTTTTAGCAAATCTGTTACAAAAGTGAACTGCAAAGTTGCAGATGCTGTAAAAGTTATCATTATACTGGGAGCACCGGCTGAATCTTTGTGATAATGCTGCTTTCCCTGTGCCAGTAAAATCGAAGCAAACTTATTTTGGAATAAATTGACACTTCTGTTTCAGAATAAATGGGAAAAATCACACAATCAGACATGGGGTGGGTAAAAAATACCTTTTGTTGCATAAAGATGGATGTTTTTACATGTAAATTGCTAGGATGCAAGTAGTTGAACAAACAAGAAGCTGATCCTTGAAACTTGTTTTTTAAATATATACTGGTGTTTGCCTGAGCTACGTTAGACAGTCTGTGTGCAACTGCTGGGCCAGTTCCTGTAGAATTCCAGTGCATATGAACATTAACAAGAAACCTGTTAAATAGAGGCTCTTACTGGCTTAAAAGTCAAATAAGAGTGACTAAATTGACAGGACAAAACACAAAACTGAAAGTATTTTTAAGCCTGACATGGTCTTTTGCATTTTAGTGATGTGTTTAGTTGTGTTTTATGCATCAATTTTCAATGTATTAACTTCTTCAGCATTGGGTCTGAGTTGCTCATCTTCACTCTTTCTTTCACAGAAATCTAGTCCTTTAAATAGGTCATGAGCCAGGCTGCTGTGAAGTATTTCAGTATGAAGAGGTAAAAGGAGTTTAAGGATTGTATTCAAAAGTAATTAGTCTTTTTTTTTCCTTTCACAGAGAAATCGCTTTTACAAGGCAACTCCATGAGAAAGCTCCTGATCTCTGCTTTTATTATATGGGTTTCTACATTCATTCATGCCCCAAAATGAGATACAAGGTAACGTGTGATCTTAACTTCTTTCCTTAGTGTACTGTTAGTCAAAGCTTTTGACAGTGTTCATAGTAAGTATAGAGTTTTCTAATTGTCAGTTTGGATTTTAATGTCAACTTTCTATGGTTAAATTTGAGCATTGGTCACTATTTAACTTGGCTTCCAGTTTTTTTTCTCTTTGTCAAAATTTAGCTGCATGTGGTATTTATTACATGTTGGCTTAAAAGCAGTTCACATGGAGAGGTTTTCAAGGCTGTCAGATGATAGTTTGTCATTTGATTACCTGGCTGTCTCATGTTTACAGTATATTCTCCAGTTTTAGGTTTACATACCTGTGGCAGTGCTGCTTGGTGCCTATGGGGAGTGATAACGTCTTCCTGGTCTTGGCTGTACTTGGGCTTCCCTCTTTGGTTTTTTATTGGAGAAAGGGGACTTGCTCTGCTGATGAAGCCAGAGACAAGCTGGGCTAGCAGCAGTTCTGAGCCAGAAAAGCAGATTTTGGGGGGAAAGGGTCAGGAGAATCTGCAGGACATTTAGAATAACCGATCTATCACCAAACCTCCTTTGTAGGTCCTGTGAGCTTCAGCTTTGTTTAGACCTGAGACACCTAAAGGTGTCTCTTTCCTCTGTATTTTTTGTGACCATTATGAATGTGGTATCTTTTCTTTGTAAATATATCGTTGCTTTGTGACTATTATGATACAATTTTTAAAAGGGCACTTAGTGACAGGACAAGGAGGAGTGTGTTTATACTGAAAGAGGTTAGATTGAGATGAGCTCTTAAGGAGAAGCTCTTCCCTGTGAGGGTGCTGAGGCGCTGGCACAGGGTGCCCAGAGAAGCTGTGGCTGCCCCATCCCTGGCAGTGTTCAAGGCCAGGTTGGACACAGGGGCTTGGAGCAAGCTGCTCTAGTGGAAGGTGTCCCTGCCCGTGGCAGGGGCTGGAGCTGGATGAGCTTTAAGGTCTTTTCCAACCCAAATGAGGCTGGGATTCTATGATTTTTCAGAGTACTGACCATTGATAAATATTTGAACACTTACACATAACCAAAATTCCTGTTAATAATATGGAAAGATGCATGAAACGTAGAGTAAGAGGTGCAGTGTTTTCATTTCCTTTCCCCCCCCTCGTTAGGCTAAAAGTCTGCAGTGCTTTCAGCTAGTTTTCAAATAGCCCCAAAATTGTGAGGTTCGTTGAAGTGATGATTGTGACACAGCATTTCAGCTTTATTGTGGCCTGCAGTACAGGTAACCATGATGGTTGAGTCTTCAGAAAATAACAAACCCCTACCTCTCCTTTTGCTAGGTGTTTGTCTGTCCTTCCCCCCCACACCCCTCTTTGCCAGCCTGAGTTTATCATCTCAATCTGCTGGCCAAAGAAAGAGGATATTAAGTTTTAAGAGAAGGATAGTGGGTGAGTTGGAAAACACTGCCCCTTTCATCTAAGTCATCTTAAAGGCTATCATATCACCAACTTGAACCAGCTCTGATTATTTGTTCTACTCTTTGGAAATACTTAAAAGTTTGGGATTCTTTGTTCCTGTGGAGACACTGCAATTTAACATCCCTTGTCTGTTCTACAACCTACGTAGCTCAAGACTTGTGAAAAGTATGCATCTAGTTTACTAGGGCACAAGCAAATCTGAGAGACAAATCTGACTATAATGGGAAAAAGCATCCCAGTTCTGAAAGCTGTCATTGCTAAGAAGCTTGGGTTTGAGTCTTTTGTAGTAAGTTTTAATGAAAATGTGAACTTCGGAGACATGGATTAAACATAGCACGTGTCGGAGGCAGTGTATTAAAGTAGCCAGCAAAAATATGAAGATTAAATGCTGTAAAATTGAGAGCTGACCTCAGCAGCCACTATGTATTTGTGTTATATCCCAAGCATAAGAGGGACGTGGAGCAGTTGGAGTGAGGCCAGAGGAGGCCACAAAGATGCTGCGAGGGCTGGAGCAGCTCTGCTCTGGAGCCAGGCTGAGAGAGCTGGGCTGGGGCAGCCTGGAGAAGAGAAGGCTCCTGAAGGGGAGACCTGAGAGCAGCTCCAGTGCCTGAAGGGGCTGCAGGAAACCTGGAGAGGGGCTTTGGACAAGGGCCTGTAGGGACAGGGCAAGGGGAATGGCTTTAACCTGCCAGAGGGGAGACTGAGATGAGCTCTTAGGCAGAAGCTCTTCCCTGTGAGGGTGCTGAGGCGCTGGCACAGGGTGCCCAGAGAAGCTGTGGCTGCCCCATCCCTGGCAGTGTTCAAGGCCAGGTTGGACACAGGGGCTTGGAGCAAGCTGCTCTAGTGGGAGGTGTCCCTGCCTGTGGCAGGGGCTTGAACTGGATGAGCTTTAAGCTCCCTTCCAATACAAACCAGTCTGGGGTTCTGTGATTATATATTGTAATGTGGTGTCTTTTCTGTTGAGCTTGTTCTGTTGAAAATAATTGTATCAACAATGAGATTCTCGCAATTCTTCTAGTTTTTATTCTCAAATAATGGAAATTGAATAAATTGTAATGGGAATATTGTAACATGTTTTTTCTATTATTATTATTTTCTCTACAAATGATGAGAATTTCCGGGGCAGGGGATGGGTAGAAGAAAACCTATACATATGTATTTAGAACACGCACAATAGAAAGTAATTCTCCATGCTGGGAAAGGAATAATTTAATAAATGAATTTCAAGGGTTTCCATGTTATTTTAGATTTCTTTTCCTGTGTATATTTGTTTTGCAAGTAATACACTTGAAAATCAGGTTGACACAAGTTCTGTAGGGTCACTTTACCCTCGCTGAAATAGTACACAGAAGCAAATTTTAAAGCTAAGCTCTGAAACGTGTCTGGGTAATGCTACAACTCCTGTGAACTGATTGGCAACGGGAAAGAAGGATGGGGAAGTACTGATGTTGTGAATTAAGTAATTTCAGTAGTTCCTGGTTGGCTTACGTGCATTATGTTCTGAAGACTTTGCTTTATTACAGTTTAATAGACATGTTGAAGGCTCCCTTTCCTTAATGATATTAGTGGGGAAGAAAGACAGGCTGTTGTTAAACTGATGTCAGGTAAGAAAAATAAATGCAGGAAAGAAAAGGAAGCAATTGGAGAGCTAAACACTGGTTTTACCCTTTGCTGGTAATTTTCTTTGCAAATTATTTGGCCTAGGATATTTAGAAATTGAGGCTATCATAATATCGCTTAATATCACATAATATCACTGCTTTATATAAGCAGTGTCTGATGGAGAGCACCGTAAGCAGTGTCTTGTTGAAGCACACATGCACGTTATCCTTATTTACAGTAAACTCACAGGATTTTGGAGATCTTTGAAAGTTTTCCTTCTTCTAGTCACAGATGGTGATCAGTGGAAATGCCTAAGCTGACATTTGCATTTGGTTTCTGATGGAAAAGCAGTACCAGACTGCTTCTAGCAAAGATTCCTGAGCTTGACTACTGGTTTGTACCAAACAGCTGTGTATCTTCAAGCTGATCAAACAGGGGTAGGGGATGAATAAGGAGCAGTGACTTTATGATGTTGATTTAAGCAGTTTGACAGTGTTCCACTTTGCATGGAGTCAAATTCAGTATTCTGTGCAAAATGTAGTTGGAATAATTGAGGAACTTTGCAATGAACTGTTGTACTCCCATTGCAGTCCAAGACTGATGCATTAATGTTGTGCACATGAGGACATAGCTGGATGTTTTGCTTTTAAGTACATATGGTTCCTAGATGGGAGATATAGACATCCAAGCATTGAAGCCTTTTTCTGCATAGGTACTTTCTTGGAATGCAAATTATAGACATCTCTTCTGGATTCTAACTTGTTTTGGGATGTGATCATATATACCAGTCACTGGGTCATATACAGGAACAGCTCAGATCACCTTGCTTGTGTTGGATGTTCTAAGGAGCTCCAAGGCATTGATAGAGTATTTTGTTGAAGTATTTGTTTTTAAATAGGGCTGCTGACATGCTTGTTCTGTTTTTAATGCAGTTCTTAAAACATTGCCAGTATCTTTGTCCTAGAACGTTTCTCTGAACAGTCACCTTTGATATGGCCAGACCATCCCACCAGTTGCCCATAGTGCAACAGCTCCATGCAGCTGCTGAGTACTTTTAGCCACCACTGAGCAGGTCAGGGAATGAACTGACAGTGAGTAATACACTATTAGGGGTCAGTGTGTGTGACGTTTTCATCTGCAGGTTTTTATTGCCACAGAAAGTACAATTTTGGGCATTTATAGTGCAGTGGAAGATTGGAGGCCTGGAAGAGGATCCTCAAATCAGGATTCCTGTGGCTCAGTAGCAGAATTTGAGGATTCTGAATTATGAGGCAGGAAGATGAATGGTTAAAAAGTTTAGCATCATAGAATCAACCAGGTTGGAAAAGACCAGTAGATCATCAAGTCCGACCATTACCCCAGGCCTGCCAAGACCACCACTAAACCATGTCCCTAGGGGCCTCATCTCTATGGTTTGTGAACACTTGATAGTGATTCTACCCCATGGAAGTGGATGATGCTTCTTAAAAAGGTTGTTTTTAAAAATAAAGGTTTTTTTTTTCTGACTCAACTATTCCCTTCTCTTTGTTCCCAAACAGCTTGCATTTGATTTCAATGTGATTTTAAAACAGTGATGGGGGAAGGGAATATATTGCAATATTAGGCTACTTTTTAGTTCCCAGCTTCTCCTAGATTTGTTCCCATTTATGGGTTAATATTTATGAACTGGTGAAATAAAATCTACATTAAATTGAGACAAAAGGATTTCTGTGTCCTATTAACTATGTTAATATGGAAAAATGCTATGAAAAAACCTTAAGCAATGGCTTTGTTCCATTTTTTCCGGGTAGGTCAGGGTAATACAAGAATCAAATGGTTCTCTGAAGAAATTCATGACCTTGTGGTAAAACTTCTCAGGCTCTGTTAGATGTGGTAGTTCTTATGTTGGAAAACAGTCTCCTGGAACATTTTCCTAGACTCATAAGATGCAAAGTCTTTTTCCTAATGCATTTTGGAGTGTGT